TGCATTTCTACTGCGTTTATTCTACTTTCGTGCTTCTTCTGCCACACCCAACTTCCACTACCATATGTTAAAAAAGGGACTAACAGCCATAATATGTGCCTTTTTTGACACATTCTGACTTTTCACGATAGAGTTTATAGCCCCATTTACTTTATTTCCAGCATTCACTCATTGCTTTTTAAAAAGGATTTGTTAATAAAATTCTGATACAAATTTGATCATTTATTTAATATAATGCAAACATATTTTTATCAACCTATTACTATTAGTATATATTCTTACCTAGGTACTAAATCTACATTAAATCTATTTTTCATATTTGAAATTTGATAATATAGCTTAACATATGTAATCAAAAACATATTGATTATATATCAAATGATAACACTATGAAATTAAAATCTTAAAATTATATCTTCAGTGAACCAAAAATCAGTTTCTTTTACAAAAGTAATTAAAAGAAAACAAATAAATTTAAAATAACATTAAAACATTTATAAAATTAAATGAGTCTTATTTTAAATTACAGGATTGTTATTTGTTGTTGTACTCTGTTTGGAAAATTTAAAACAATAATATTAAACTCCTCAATTGTCCTGGCTATTTTGGACATTGCATTTGATTATAACTTTATTTTCGGATGCTCCATATATTGATCATTTCTTGTTGGTAGAGTGTTGATTGGGGAATGTGGTATGGAATTAAGTTGTGATTCTAAAATGAAATTTTAATCCACCACAAACCATTTAAAAGGATGTTTAAGATTTATTGAAACATCTATATTCTCTACACAAAGAGATAATACATATGAGGTCAATTTATGTAAATTATTGCAATTAAAAAATGATGGATTACCTTTTTACCACTTCAGTGTAAGACATACATATTGCAAGTTCCTTATTTTTATCAAACTGTAGGTAAGGGCTCGACCAAGTCCAATTTCTATGTGGCCATATCTAGAAGATGAAGTTCATCATAAAGAGTCTCTTTTCTCCATGAAATTAACCAGCTGTTGGCCCATTTGGTGCCGTGGCCCTAGCCTATCCATTAGATATTCCTAGAAAAATAAAATAATATTAAAATGTTTGTCTTTAAAAGTGAGTAAAAAAATAGTTATTATTATTAGATGCCATACAAAAATATTGAGAAGTAAACGAATCAACATTGTTATTTGTAATAACTAAGTAGTGAGAAAGGTTAATTTTAAGTTGAGTCTTCAAAAGCAACACTTGACCATCTGTGACTGCTATCAATCCCTAGGTTAATGTTGTTCAACAGACCAGAAATTGCTTTTTTTCTGTACCCAAATTAAAAAACATATCTACCTATAAAATTTTTAAAAAACATTGTTATACTTACTTTAGCCTATCCTTGACCATTATTATTTATTTTGTTCCTCCTAATTAGCTAACAGTGCCCATTTCGTCTGTTTCATATGATGCTTAATTGTGTTAATGCGGTAATGAACTATTTCAAACTGTTTATAGTTGTACCCAAATTGAAAGGTCTATTATTAATTCACTCTACACATACTTAAAAAGCACTTCACCTTTAAACTTAAAAAGAGTTCTTCGAAAGTTGATATTTGTTTACATTGTTTCATGATCGTCGTGATAACAATTTTTTTCTGACAACAAAAAAATGAGGCGAAGACACGCTCCTATACAGCCTTATAATTAATTAAAACTCGCAAATATAGGGTTTTTTTTTATAAAAACTGTATGAAAAGATGTTATGTTTGACGAATTACACCATTTATTAAGTATTTTTACTACTTAAACGCTCGTTTATGAAAGTTACAAAGGGTTTATTATGACTTCACCGGTTTAACGATAAATAAAACATGCCTGTTGCTAAGAGTAACGCAGCTAACTAGCGGTGGGTAGTAGCGGCTTCTTTGAGTAACGAAACGAATCTATCTATCGAATATCAATAGCGGCTTTTGAAACACTCTATTTTAATAGAGGGTTTGGAAACACTCTATTTTAATAGCGGCTTCAATAAAGTGTTTCACGACGTGTTCAATTGCAAAACGTTGCGACCGTTGTTACCGTTTCGTATAGAATTAGACATGGTGTTAATGGTTAAATTTATTTATTTGTTAAATCAGTTCGCACGGTTTGATAAAAATATCACTTCGAAGTACACTGGCATTACTTCGAGACATTTTTGATAACAATCACATAAAGTTTTAGTATTATTTTACACTTAGTTATTTACACTAATTACTGTACAATTATTATTATCAACACTAATATATACAATTGTATTTAGTTCTTATTTTACTAAAAATATTATTATTGTTGCACAAAAAGGAAACAAACGCGCCTAAAAAGTAAAAACAAACCGTGTCATTAAACTTAAACAAAAGACTAATGTAAACCGGGCCAAGGCCACTTAAATTATGGTATTTGAACTATTTTTTGTTAAAAACATGTACACTTACTTTCTCATTTCTAATATCGCATCTATACGAAGGAAATAGAGTCATAGGTCAAATGCAAAAGCACACGCGCTCACTCGACTTTCGATAACCGGTGGTACTTCTACCACAGCGTAAAAAGTCGGTTTTTTTACTCATGTGCTTCTACTTCAACAGCCGAAGCCGTCGCCGACGCGTCGCGAAAATAGCCGAATAAACGTTTTGTTACTGATCGCTCGTTCGTGATTCGTGAAACGTGAATCGTGTTACTGAGTAAAACGTCTACTGTAATAGATAGTTTCGTTGCACTGCAATAACCCGCTACTCGCTATTGTGTGAATAGATAGTTTCAGTAACTAGTTACGTTTCGTAACGACCACTCCTACAGCTAACTTCATGTGGTACAACAAAATTTTTGGCCAATCCGAGCACAACTCCGATTTCAATCCAATGTTGTCAAAATTGTTTTCTAGAGTACGCTAATTTGTCAGCATTGGATTGAAATTGAGATTGGATTCAAGAGTAAGCTTGCTGGTCGACAATGATATCGTGATTCTTAGCGTCACTTCATATGCTAGCTACAGCAAGTATGTGTTGCGCGCGTTTGTGGCCCTGTATGCGGAATCTATTAGGAGGTAATCTGTGGTTTAAGTAAACCAATCAATGCACTTTTAATTGTATCAATCACAGGGTAAAAACATTCATTTTAAACAATTCTTTAGGATCAGTTGGTGTCTCACCTATGGCTTCATATACACAAATAATAATTTTCTTCTTCGGAATCGGGTTGGCTTAAAAATTGGATCTTTCTGTTATTAGAGCAGATGAAAAGGTTCAGTACTGTTTCAAAATTCTGACAAAATTTTCAAAAAATATGACGCCTTTGGTAAATCTGTAGATTCAGACTGCATAGCTTTTTTTGTGCGAACAGCTATGCAGGTCTAGAAAGACCAGTATCACTGCGACCTAAAAGGTCTATTGTGATTGCTGCTATGGCTATAGTTCACTGCTAAGTCCTATGTCTTCAATGAATAGGAGTTGCTTAGCTGTGAGCAATTTCAATTCTTCTGGGCGAAGTAGATAGTTTCCCAGATGTGTTACATTGTTACGTGTTACACATTAAGGGTCCACAATCAGTCAGGATTTGCAGAGGCGTTTCTTCCATTAAGGAACAAAACCGACACATCCTTGAGTTGCTTAGTCCCAGGATGTAAATTTGCTTTTTAAGACAACAGTGTCCAGTTAGAACTGGGCGATTCCGTTATCGCAGGTGCAACGTTTTGATGCATGCAAGGTTTCATAATAATAATTTTTTTTTTAAATAAAATTATTTCTGTAAGAACTACTTTTCAACAAGTTTACTTTGTATTTTATTACGAGAATTTTATTAAAATATTTAAGTATTCAAGGAGGTTCAAGGTCCTATCTTGGGTGCAACAAAGTTGACGGAACCTTCCTAGATTATAAAACAAAAACACAAAAATCTGTTAATTGTGAAACATTTTTTATGTTTTGCTTTGATATTTCGCAATGGGTTAAACTAATGAAGTAAACAATTAAAAAATGTATACATAAAACAAAAGTAAACAATGAATTATTCACTTTTAAAGCAATCACAGGTGCAACATTAAATTATTCGCGGGTGTAATCTTCTAATTTAAGTGAATACAAACAACAATAAAATCTTATAGAGGAATGGAATATGAGATCAAACAATATTTATTACTAATTATTATATTTATTTGTAACTTATTTTAACTATTTCTTTTCAAATATGTCAATATTCGCTGAAATTTTATGAAGGTTTGAAGTTCGCGCCACGGAAATACTATCATCGCCATTTTCAGGTTGAAAGAAATGTTTTGATTGAATGCCTGGTATATTTTACAATCCTTCCCATTAATCATCCAACATGGCCATCTTTTCTTTAACTTGTTCTTTTGCTACGAATAAAAAGAAGTTTTTGGAGAGACTGTGTGCCAAATCATAGAATTCTCGGGCACTGTTTACGATGGCTCTCCGGGACTTGACAGAAATCCACACCAATTACTTAACACTTCCACTGCTTCCATCAATGGCACCTTTGCCGTCGATGGAAGTGGATGTGAAGCAGCGAAAAAGTTCCATTCGAGGTGAGTAAATCCATATTCTGCTTTGAGAGTATTCATGCTTGCTATCACTCACCACTTCTTGAATTGAGTGGCGCAATTATTGCTGAAGATACACACAGATGTAATGCCATCAGAGATCAACTTGATGTACTCAAATATTTTCTGGGGAAAGAGATGCACAGTATTTTTACTAGGCTTAATTCGTCACTTATTATGATGACCACTGAATGGATTTTTTTCAGTAGTGCAAATACAGTATGCGAAAAGTGTGACTTGTCCATGATACCATGCGGTGATTGTATTTCATCATGACTGATCAGAGCATAATTCTCGGCAAAGTCTATTAGTACAATAGCCTTTACTTTGGTCAGGTCTTGTTTTGCGTTTTGAAAATAATCGGACTGAACATTTTTAACAAAAGAATGTAACTTGAATTTAGCAGTGCTGTAGTTCTTCTCTAAGGTTTGCTAATTACAATGTTTTGGTCTCTGATTCTGAAAGATCCAGGCCTTCCAATTAATAGTGGGATTAGAATCTAGGGTTGAATATCCAAATGGATTCTTTGCATACATCACAACCGTTGGACATGCAATCTTCATTCTGTACACTACATGACTCTTTTTTAAGAAATCTTGGTGTGTTTTTGGAAAGTCTGTCGCGTGTTTTGAAATAGCGTGCAGAAGATTATTGTAATTTGAGTGAGCTATACATACATAAACATTATGAGGAGTACTGTTGATAGGCAGAATATGACCACGTCTTTCTTTATAAAAAACAGTTTTGTCAAGAGATGTTTCGGGATAAGTTCCTTTAAAACGTTTGAAGGCTTCATGAATGCTCATAATCATTGCTCTCTTCTGGATTCGTGACTTCGTTCCCGTATTGGATTTGATTGTTTTCACATTTTTCATCCCAGGCATTTGTCTACTAATATCATCCCTATTAAAGTTCTTTATTGTTCGCTGTTCGCACAAAAGGTCATCCATCAATTTTCGAGGCACTGCTTCGGGCGAATCATTTTTTTCAGATTCAGCAACTTGGAATTCTGCAGCTATTTTTTTTGCTACCTCAAATGCTTTAGTAGGACTAGCTGGTAGATTACGTTTCACTTTTGCCACAGCCTTTCCCAGTGTGCGAGGACTGCTGTATCTAGTACTTGCTTGTTTTATTTGTTCTTCTCTAAGACGCTTTCTAGTTGCCTGCATTCTGTCTTTTGATCTGATCCTAGCCAGTATTTTCAAATCTTCATCTATCTCCACTTTTAGCTTTTTATTACTTCTCTCCTTTTAGAATCACGAATTTAAATCACTTTTAGATCTTTCTCGCCAGAGTTGATTTGCATAAAGTTCAGGGTTTACTTTTAACTTTCGTCTATATTTCTGCGAAGCAGTCTTATCTCTTCCGTCATTTTTGCCGATAATCTATGAAAAAAAAAAAAACGAAATATAATATAAATCGCCAATCATGCACAGCATATTACTATTATTTAAGACATAAAAACAGTAAATAAATTATAAATCAGGCAATAGGGATGGTTGTCAGTGTAGATCGTGATGTTGGGATCGCGGGTGCAACCAATTTGAGTATAAGTAAATTTCAATTTAAACTATCACTACACTCTTTTAAAATATTGAAATTAATTTGGCTTCGACTTCTTAATTTTACAAAGTTTGAAAAGATTAGCATTTTATTTCTGTGAAAAACACAAAGTTTTATATCTTTTGTGTCGCGGGTGCAACAAGCTAACAGTGACTTTTTGTAGTCAATGGTAATTGAAAAAATAACAACACTTACGTTTTTGGTAAATAAGAATAAAGTAATATGTTCACTATACGTTTAGCCGGTAAAATAAAACGTTACACTATTGGTGACAGCTGTTTCGCGCCAGTGTTGCCCGGTATGACTTTGTTGTTTATACCGATTCTCCGAATGATAATTTTCCTAAGCGCACCAAAAAATTTTAAACGAATTAAAATACAAAAAATATGTTTTATTATTACATTTTGACCTTCTTCTTTGCACTGATATGAAACAAAGTAACCAATAGTGTGTTTTAAAAATTACTGTCAAAAATCGTCTATAGCGGAATCGCCCAGCTCTTGCCAGAATGCGCAATTTATTTTTACTTAATCCCAGGGCTTCTGAATGAATGATAAAGAGTTTCAAAGGTCAATCCGGCTAGGCTTTTTGAGATTCCACAAAATGGCTCGGTTTCGAATAGTGTGTTCTTCATGCCCTCCCGTGCGAGCTCGTCGGCAAGTTCATTGCCTACAATACCCGCGTGGCGGAACCCATTTAAAACAATCCTGTTATATTCAACTTCACGCAGTCTCCAACTAGCTTCGAGTTCACTAAGTACAAACATAATCGAGAATCGATCTTGGATTCTTGCCACATGCTGTGTTGTTTAAGTGAAACAAATAAATTATGATTTTGATACTGCATTCTTAATTTTTTTTACATATTTGTGTATGTTATTTATGCGTTTGTTATAATTTTTAGTTTTAATTTCATCTGAACATGTTGAATTTGTCTATGCAGCTGCACAGCTGTTCGTCGTCGTCGCAATTCAGTATTTGAAGCTCAATCTATACAGTGGCCTCACTGTCCTGTCGAAATGTGTGATAAAATAATTATTCTTATTAACTCTTTTAGGTGTGGCTTTACTAAGTACAGTACAATTTGAACCCTGATTATTTTGCTGGTAGTGAGGATATCATTATAGTTGTTTCAAGTTAAGTCAAGTATAGCGCGGTGCATCCTGTCGATGTAGAGAATATTTAATAATAGGTAATGCCTATTGCATATAATAAGAATAAAATAAAATTAATATGCTTGCAACTTCATTTGCTTAAAATCTTTGTTATAGTTCGGCCGTTCAGAGAATGCGTTCCTGACACGCCGCGATTGAACTGACGACGTAACTTTGTAATGGCGTTGCAGTTACGATAAAAATATTTTTGCTGGTTGTTTACCGTTTTAACAATTGATGAGCATTAAAACAACATTATTATATCAATAATCAATGAATGTTATAATTTTGTGCCAAACTGAGTGTCAATAACTTGGTAAACAATATTTTTCTAAATCTATACTGCGCTATTACAAGGTTATGTCAGCGCTTTATATTTGTAGTGCTGTGCTAACAATAACAGGCAATAACAGTATCGTAATCTGTTCTTATACAGTTATACTTTATAAAATAATACGTTTTGTTTTTCTTTTTAAGAATTTGAAAATAATGGACTATAAGATAACTTTTATTAAATATAAAAATAAAACTACGACCAAACCGAACGCGCAAAAGTAAGTAGCATTTTTATATTTAGGTTGAAAATAGTAACCCCAAATGGTAACAGTCGTCTGTTGTCGTTTCGTGCGCATAGACCACGTTCTTCAAGTGTTTTCGATCTGTTTTTATTTGATTACCCGGCTTTTGTTTAATGGACTGTTTCTGCTTTTCGAACTGACATCGGCGCTAAATCGGTTTCGATTGTGTTTTGTATTGCGTTCTTTTTACTTTTGGTGCATAATAATGCCTAAACGTGGACAAACATTGAAAAGTGGAGCCCCTGAGTTAATCATCAAGCTGCGAGATTACTTTGAGCGGGAGCGGCAAAATGTCGGACCCCTGTTACCTGTCGAACAAGTACCAGAACGCGTCTCTCATGCGCTTGGAGTTAGCAAACGAACGATAACAAATATTAATACAGAAAAGTTCGGCTCTACTGGCACGGAAGATAATATTTTACGTACTCCGAAGAAGAAACGTAGAACTAAACCCGTGACAGATATTGACACCTTTGACGCCGTTGCAATCAGAAATCATATATATGGTTACTATTCCAGAAATGAATATCTCAACAGGAGGAAGCTTTTGGCATCGTTAAGAGAAGCTGGACTGTTTAGCGGGGGTAAAACTGCTTTAACCAAAATCTTAAAAGATATTGGTTTTTCGTATAAAAAAACAGACAAAAGAAAAAAATTATTAGAACGATACGACATAATTTTAAAACGGATAAGTTTTTTGAGAGAAGCAAAAAAATATTGATAACTGGGATAATGTCGTGTTCATTGACGAGACATGGCTAAACGCCAATCACACGGCTTCCCGTTCTTGGACGGATGATACACAAGCGTCGACGTCGAAAGTACCAATGGGTAAGAGGGCCCGTCTGATAATATGCCACGCAGGTTCTGCAAAATACGGCTTTGTGGAGAACGCGTTACTGGCATTTCAATCAAAAACCACAAATGACTACCACGAGGAAATGAATGCCACTACATTTAAAGAGTGGTTCCAGAACATGTTTTTGCCCAGCATACCAGAGCCTTCTGTAATATTCATAGATAATGCCTTCTATCACTCGGTTCAAATACAGAAACCACCTACCCAAGCTAATAAAAAAGAAGAAATGGTGGCTTGGTTACAAGCAAAATGCATTGACGCAAATATGCAGATGCTAAAACCAGAGCTAATTAAATTAGTTAAAGAAAATAAAGCGGCAAATGTGCGATACGAAATCGATGAACTGGCTCTGAAGTACAGTCATCGCGTTCTAAGAATTCCACCGTATCATTGCCAATATAACGCGATTGATCTAATCTGGGCTCAAATAAAAGGTTACGCCGCCCGTCACAATACTTCCCCGCCATTCAGCACGAAAAAGATGATGACCCTATTAAAAGAAGCCTGCGGGGAAGTCACAAGAGATGACTGGGCAAAGGTTGTTGAGAAGACTAAAAACCTGATTGTGGAACATTTTGACCGAGATATCAGGATTGATTCTGTTATTGATAATAATATAATTATACGTGTAGGCGAAGATGATGATGTGACCTCAAACGAATCGGAGTCTGATTAATATTCTGTACGCACGTTCAATTCAATGTACTTTATTGCATAGAGATACAGATTGTAACTTTGTAACAAAGAATAAATAAAACAATTTTATTTTATTAATATTACCTTTTTTGGTTTCCACTTAAATTACTAAAATATAAATTTTAAATGATTCCGCCAATTTAAAACGAAAATAATCTAAGAAATAACGCGGCGGTTCATTTTGAAGGAACGGTAACGAACTCGGTGTTATGTTGTGCCCATCACTAGTCGTGAGAGTCGTGACGAACTGATAGGTGTCAGGAACGCATTCTCTGAACGGCCGAACTATAGTAATGTTTAAAAAATATTACGAAATATTCAAAAATAATAAAATTTTGAATATTTCGTAATATTTTTTAAACGACGCTAAGGATTACTTAAACACAGTCGATGGCATATCTGTTTAATATCATATTTAAACTAAAACTAAGTAACTTAGATATGCACTAAGAAAATATGAAAAATAAACGAAAGAACAGGGTAACAATTACTATAATTTATAGATTCAAAGGGTTTCTTGCATTGCAAATTTCAATAACAAGCAGCGGCGTAAATGATTCCATCGCACCGTCACATTCTGGGGATGATGTATGACGTGACAATGGGATTCGATGGCTTTCGATATTTGGTGGTATAAACATATTGGTTATGTCAGAGAGGACATAAAATAATATGGACAGCAACGTCAAAGGTGCGAGAAGTCTTGTATTGCGATTGTCTATCTGCCTGCTAACCATGACATTTATGCAAATCACCCCTATATTGGGAGAGGCCCAGATGTTATTTATTGTCCTTGCAAAGTTATAGCCTATCAGTCTTGCTGAATATAGGCCTCCCCATAAATTGCTTCATATGGGAGATTTTGCCGTAGTTGCCATGCTTGGCAGGGGGGTTGGCAACCGCAGTTTTTTGTAGTTTTGAGTTTGTTATCAGGATGATGCTGTTGCCAACTTCCTGTTCCAGTTTCCCTCTGTTGCCTTTTACAACACCCGCGCATTTTAAACGCATTCGTGAGATAAAACACCCTTTTAACATTATTATTGTTGACCGTATCTATGTTTACCAGGTTCTTTACAAGAAATATGTAACTAATATGGGCAGATCTGTTACAACTCAAAATTTTATTGAGTTGGTGTGCAGTATTTTTTATTTAGTGTTTCCTCCCTAGCACCAAAAGTGACAGAATTTTTTGGCGTAGCATTAGGCGCATTACTCGTCCATTATTGGTTGAATGGTCTAAGCATATACATCGTTTAAAGCCTTCTATAATCTCAATACAAAATCAAAGAAACTATAACAAGTTAGAGATTTGCAGTTATC